GAGTGGATGAAGATCTTGTCGGTGGCTTCAATTGAATAGACACAATTCGGAGGAGGTTACTAGAGCCCTTCACGAAGATCCTTTTTTCGTGTAGATATGAATGCTAGCACGGCTATGTTCCATGGCTGAAATCATGTATGCATGCAAGATGTACCCACTAGATCGTGTAATGCCTATCAGATGCATGATCAACTGGCAGTATAAAATAAAATTTATTTTAACATGCACTTTATACTCGCTGGCTGCTACATACTACATACTTTATACTTGTGTTTTGTACTCGCCGGGGGCGGCACACGATCGATATACTACATACTCTAGCTTTATATATCATATAATCCATATTTTTTTACTTGCTTAATATTACATGCTACATACTTCATACTTCATACTCCATACTACGGGAACATAGCATGGATGCTGACGACCTATGGCTTCGTCCCTGGTATGGTATGGTAGCGACATATGAGTAACGAGAATGGGCAACTGCTTTACTCGGCGGCGACAATGGTGATGAAAGGTTGTGCTTAGCCCTACGTGCGATTTCTCCGGCAAGGTGGCAGGCCCAACGACGAAAAGATGCGCGTAGACGGCTGCTCCAGCATGGTGCACACCAAGAACGAAGATGGACAATATCAAGATGGCTGCACGCATCTGCCATCTGCTCCAACATAGCGGACAGCGGCAACGATTTTCTATATATACACCTGCTCTGACTTCACGGGCAGCTTGTCATCGGCGTCCATGGGCTGCCTTCTTGCTTTCCTATAATTCACAGGAACATCATCTTCCTAACGGCGGACTGATTGCCACGCTCGGGACAGAAGCTAGTGAGCTTCATGCACAAAACCATAGATCAATGTTAGCTACTCCCTATGATATGCATGTGTGACATCACATCTGCATCATGTACGTACACGTCATGTGTACTGCTTAAGTAATGATGAAATGCATCAGCTAGATGTATGTACATACAGTATTGTTAATTATGTTCACAATATTCATTGTATGTGTATACTACTCCATACTCCTTGCATATATATATTTCGTACTACTACCACTCCTTTTTTTAGGATACTACCACTCCTTTTATGGAGTAGTACGAAATATATATATGCGTACTATTTTTATTTATTTGAGAGGATATACTACATACTCTATATACTACATACTCGGTTCCTTAAAAAAATACCACATACTCATTTTGTAGAAACTATATACTCATACTATTTTTTTATTTGAGAGGTTATACTCAATACTCTACATACTATATACTTGGTTCCTCAACCAAAAAAAAACATAGTACATACTCATTTTCTATAAACTATATACTCATATTCTTTTTTTATTTGACAAGATATACTCCATACTCTACATAATAAATATTCGGTTCCTAAAAAAAACATACTACATACTCATTTTTTATAAACTACTCCATACTCTTTTTTTATTTGACAAGATATACTCCACACTCTACATAATGAATATCCGGTTTCTAAAAAAAACATACTACATACTCATTTTTTATAAACTACTCCATACTCTTATTTTATTTGAGAGGATATACTCCATACTCTGCATGCCTTTTATAGGAATGTCCCTACTCTGCATGCTTGATGTGCATGAATAATGCGTACTTGATGTATAAGCTAGGAACCTATTATCCATCCAACCGGCCGGGTGATTAGGCGAAAGATTATAAGGTTGTTGACAAGAGGTGCGCTACTACCTGACTAATTAATTATTTTTTTAGGATAACTACCTTCCCACCTAAAAAGTAGGGATTACTTTCTCCAACTTCAAATTACTACGACAGCTAGCGGGTTAGAGGGTTCTGCCCACAATCGATACCCAGCGCACCCGGTTGCCTCGCTCCTACGTTCGGGGACACGTGGAGGCTAATGAAGTAAGTGGTAACTACCACTAGCCCCACTACCACCCCACACGTCAGATGGACCACCGTCTCCCGGTCCCTACATGCACAGTACCTTTACTAGCACATGCACTGCAGACACAGTCCTAAATCCTTTCACCTTTTTTGCGTTCCTCTTTCAGCACGAATCACAGAGCACGGGCTTGTGCCTCAGATAGCTGTTTCTGTAGTAAGCTATTGTAGACACAATTTTGCCTATATATATATGTATATATATATATATATATATATATATATATATATATATATATATCACCTTTTGTGTGAGTGAAATATCTATTAGCATTGTACTGGACCATATGCTCTTTATACTAAATTTGATGTTTTCTACAGAACCATATTTAACTTTGTAATGGATTTTGATTCTTTGTACCGCGGACTAATCCTTCCCTGAGAAACAGCAGACGCTAGATCATTGCCTTGGACAGTCACAGTGCGACAAGGCGCTTCCTACCGGGTTACACTAATAAGTGTTGGCTTCCTCATGTGTTTTTGAGAAATCCTAATGCTAGATCAGTAGTCTCAGTGTTTCCTTTTCTATCTGTTTGCCGTCACTCTGCCTCTATCTCTTTTTGTACCACCTTCATGTAGTTGCGGATACAAGTTTGGTCGCTTAATGGCTAATAAAATTGTCTGACATAAGGTTGGACTGCTTTGAGTTGTTTTAATTTTGATGAAAATGCCAATTGGATTGTTGCATCCTGATATTGTTCGTACATCTTTGATTTGATAGCTTTATTACCAGGTGGATATGACCGCACCCGACAGGTTGCCTAACTTATTATTATGGTGTTGTTCTAAACCTTGAAACCTTTGATGCATTATGCTACATATCATATGAAATGCATCAGTAGAATGCACTGAATCTTCACGACTTTGTAGCCGGGTTGGATATGATTCACCTGGCAGGGCAGTGGCAAACCGCACTTCCTACTAACCGATCATTACCTGCTTGATCACATAGTTGGGACCGGCACCCCGCGCCAAAGCGGTGGGATCGGCACCCTCGCGCCAAAGTGCGATTCTGATCTAGTATCATGATGACCCCGAGTAAAATATAAGGTTGTGAGAGTAAGACCGAAAAATTGCTGGGCACTCACCTGTCAAGCCCTGCAGGGCCGCTCGATTGCCTCACGATTCACAAAGTAGTTGGACCCCGCACGAGTGCATAATAAATTTTAAGTTTCAATCGTTGAAACTTATGTCTTTTTATCTAAATCTTGCGATTTTCTGGCTCGCTCTTACCAAGTTTCATATACATAATTTTAAATGATCTTTTTGTCGGTCGTAGGCAAAAAAAATTGTGATTTTATCGGTCGCTCGTACTAAGTTTCAAGAGTTGAAACTTAATATTTATTTTCTAAATTCGTCAAATCATATTCAAAATGGATCTTTTTTGAAGTACCTGAATAATGCCCGAACATTTGTTTTTTGACCATGGCAAATTGAACATTATCGATGGTAATTTAGTGATGCGAAGATGGCAAGTTTAGTTGATTGCATGGCAAATCTGTGCTCAGTGTATGTATTTTCTAGGAAATTGTGGTGCTTGTTAGCTAAACTTGCCATCCTCACGTTATTAAAGTTGTCATAAAAATGTTCGATTTGGCATTTGTCGAATTCCAAATGTTCGGTATTTATCATTTCCATATTTTCATCCCAAATAAAATATTCTATGCTCCACACCCGCGTGTCACAAATGCTCTTCATGAGTAAGACCTCATACCCATGCTTGTTTAGCATTTTCACCCCGAAGTTTTTTATTTCTTCCATACTTCTCCCAAACTTGGGAGCCGGGTCCATATAGGGGAACAGAGTTTCTTGCAAGACGACAACAACACATTTCAAAGCCTAATAAAGATCAAAAGAGAAAAACAACGACAGTTGGACGGAGCACCCCAAAACCAGAAGGGTCTTGCCTGTCAGCTCGCCATATATACTCTCTCCGTTCCTAAATGTAAGTCTTTGTAGAGCTGCCACTAGATGGACTACATACGGAGCAAAATGAATGAATCTAAATTTCAAATGCATCTATATACATCCGTATGTGGTTTATAGTGGAATCTCTACAAAGACTTACATTTAGGAATGGAGGGAGTAGATAGTAAGTTTTTCTTGCAAAATGAAAACAAATAAATCAATCAACCATCGTGATGTTGCACCTCACCTAGACCACCAAAAGGGTCTTATTTCATTTAAGGTAGAGAAGTAGAAATGCCGGAGATGCATCTCCCCCAGACCGACCCCCTCCCCTTTGATTCAATGGCGTTTCTACAAATGCGCTCAACAGCTTTGCCACGCCAGCCGTGGATGCTTTCGCTCGTCTGGAAACTCGATTTGGCAGCGTGTCCTGCACAAATGCGCTCAACAGCTTTGCCACGCCGGCCATTTCGGTTCTGGAGTAGATGATGACCATGAAGTAGTTGGCTTGCATTTTACTGGCCGTTTCTATCTACCGTACGTAGCATTCCATTCCTCGTGTGTTGTGTTGCACGGTCGACATATGTGTTCGAGACTTCGAGCCTCGACGTGGCAAGCACGACTCCAGTTATAAGGAAAAGTTGTTTTGGCCCAGGGTTGGTGCATTCGACATTTTTTTACACATGCAACGTGTGAATGAACCAGTGCAATCTGAAACCCCGGCTCGGTAGGGGTTCAGCAGCATGTGCACAGGCTCGACCCGAACGAGTGGCCTCTCCCAGCTTTGAGCGAGAGAGAACGGCTGGCTGCCAGAATGAATGCAAAACAATGGCTCACGTACTGACTCAAGACCGGAAACAGCATGCATGCAGATAACTGATGTCTCATACAGTACATCCAAGACTAACCAGGATCATTGAGGCTAATTATACTGCCCCAAAAATGGAGTAACCAGCTAGTATAGTCGATCGGTCCAATCGGCACCACACATACGGCACTCGATCATAATGCATACTAGAGTACTAGATCGATTCACACATACAGTACTTACTATCCCTTGGAAGTTAGAACTACTCGCAGTACCTCCTGAGCTGATTGATGGGCATGGGCATGATCCCCTGCAGTGCAGTGCAGCTAGCTGAATTCCTCACTCCTCGCCTCCGAGGAGAAGGTCCATGAACATGAAGCTGGTGGCGTCGCGCGCTATGAAGCAGGAGATGCTCGCGATGCAGATCAAGGTGAGGTGGTATCCTGGGTCGGCGGCGAGGAGGATGCGGAGGGCGCGGACGTACATGTAGTGGCGGACGATGGTGAGCGCGAGCTGGAGGTAGGCGAGGGCCAGGGCGCGGCGTGGATGCCGCAGTGCCAGCGCCGCGACGGTCACCTCGAGCACCGCGCAGCAGACCATGGCGAGCCAGAGGGCCCTCCACTCGGCGGCCGCCGCGGCCGTCACCCTGACGCACGGCAGGATGAAGGAAGCCTGCACTCAGACGGCCAGTTTGGCGTGTGATGATCGGATCGGAAAGTCTAGAAGGCATCTAGCCTGACAGTTGATCGGATCGGAAAGCTAGGTTAGTACGCACTCCTACCTGACTGTGGCTGCTGCAGAGGTGGTAGCGGTCGAGTACGTAGTCGGCCGCTGTGGCCAAGGCGAAGACGACGACGGTGGCGCGGGCGAGGGCGAACGCCCGTACGCTTTCCGGCCGGGCGGCAGTCTTGTGGTCCATGCTAGGTCTTGGTGTGCTTCTAGGTGAAGGCAGGGTCGAGGCGAGGTGGATAGCTCGGTCTTGGTGTGCTTCTACGTGAAGGCAGGCAGGGTCGAGGCGAGGTGGAGGGCAATGGCTCACGGTGGGTGGGGCTGTTTAAGTAGAGCGAGCCCGTGATCGCGAGGCCGTGATGCAAAGGCGAAGATGCGCGCGCGGGGAAACGACGTGTCGAGCAGGACAGTGGACTGCCGGTGATGATGATCTCAGCCGCCGGCCATAGACAGTGGACGCACACGCGCATGCATGCACAAGAATAGAAGGTGGGTGGGGCTCCAAACACTACACGGTTTTGCCTTCCACGGACAAAAATGAAGCACAACTACTAGTCGAGAGAGGTGTGAATGAAAAGAAGAAAAAGGTGACGATGACCGATGAA